TGAATAAGCGGTTAAGTTTACAGGTGCAACTGGTCGAATGAGTAAATAGAGGTGATTGGTACCTTTTAGATAACACAATACCCTTTTTGTAGCTTGCAAATGTTGATGGGGGGGGGTGGTTGTGCATGAATTGATATAAGTAATTGCCAACAAAGGCAATGTCAGGACTTGTGATAGTTAGATATTAAAGAGAGCTAATGAGCTGCCTGTATATTTTACAATCAGTAGGTGGAGATCCATCATCCTGTTTCAAAATGGCTGAGGAAGCAAATAAAGTACAAACTCCCTTGGCCTCCATCATGTTGTAGCACAAGAGAAGATTATTAATACACTTCTTTTGAGAGAGATACAGACTCGTGGATTGGCGACAAACTTCTATACCGAGGAAATATGTCAAGAGAGATAAGTCCTTGAGAGAAAAATGACGAGCTCATGCATCATTAACATGTTAAAGCTTGGTTTTTGAAGATCCTGTGAGTATGATATTATCCACATATAGGAGAAGAAATACAACAGAGTCTGTGCCACGGAGAATGAATAAAGAATGATCTAATTGTGAGCTAGCATACAAAACTAATAGAAGCAATAAAGTTCTTGAACTGTGTATACCATGTACAAGAAGCTTGACAGAGTACATAAATTGCTTTGTGAAGTTTGCGCACATGATCAGGATAGCTTTTATTAATGAACCCAGACGGTTGATCCATATAAACTTCTTCAGCTAGAGTTCCTTGTAGAAAAGCATTATTTATATCGAGCTAATAGAGAGTCCAGTTAAAGTATACATCAAATGTCTGTAGGAGACTAATTATAGTTGAGTTGACCACTGGGATGAAAGTAGAAGTAAAGTCAACACCTGGGCCTTGATCAAACCCTTGGCTACTAATCTTCTTTTGTATTTGTCTATTGATACATCTTGTTTGTGTTTAATTCGAAAAGCCCACTTGTAACTAATTACGTTATGTGCTCGAAATTTTGGAACTAAACTCCAAGTATGGTTTTTAACGAGAGCGGTAATCTCCTCACACATTGCATCATACCAAGGAGCATGTTGAACTACATGTTTGTAAGTTCGGGGAACCACTGTTTTGTCAGTAGAAACAACCAAAGAAGAGTAGTCCATAGGATTTTTAGGCTTAAAATTGTTATGTTGAGAGCGGGTTACAACACAAGGTAGTGGTGGAGGGGTAGTAGAACTTACTTGTTGCAAAAGAGATACAAGAGAATCATCACTCAAGGCAGGAACAATCGCAGAGGATAAGGGACTAGTCTCTTCATTCTGGGTACCAAAAGGAGATGTGGAATGCGAATGTGTTTGCAATGGGGATGAATAATATGATGGTGCCGTGTTCTCTCTCAGTAAAACACGAGTAGACATAGGCACTAATGAACATCTCTTAGAGACACGGGAGGAGATACAGTTTTAGGATGACATGGGTGGTTGGTGGTTGAGTTGTCAAGCCATGAATATATTCCTTGTGGTGTTACCTGAGGTAGCCCATGAGGAATAGATTCAAAAGGAAAAATCTTTTCTTGGAATATTACATGAAGAGAGAGAAATATTTTTGAAGTAGATAAATCAAGGCATAGGTAACAAAGGTGGGTGACACAGTAACCAAGAACAAAACAAGGGCGAGATTTTGGTTTCAGTTTATGGTTATTATAGGGTTTTAACCAGGGATAACATAAGAAACCAAAGGTATGAAGAAAGGAATAATTGGGGTTGTTATGAAAAAGGACTTCAAAGGGAGACTTTCCTTGAAGGATAGGTGTGGGCATACGGTAAATGAGGTACACCGCAGTTTGACAAGCATAAGACCAGTATTTAAGAGGTATAAAGGCTTGATGTAGTAAATTTAAAGTAGTCTCCAGTATATGTCGATGGTGACGTTCAGCAGTACCAACTCATTGGGGTGTATAAGAGGGTGAAAAAAGATGTTGGATGCCCATGTTAGTCAACGTCTTAGTTAAGCCTCCGTACTCACCACCACCATCTGAATATATAGTGAGAATCGTTGAGTTAAAACACCTTTCGACCAAGAGTTTGAAATTAAGGAATATGCAAGTTACATCTAATTAGTTCTTGAGTGGGAAAAGCAATATATATTTTGTAAAATGGTCAACAAATATGGCATAAAACCGATTACCATTTTGAGAAGGAATGGGAGACGGTCCCTATACATCAGTATATGAAAGTTTTAATGGACGAAAGCTAGTTAAGGTGGATGTAGAAAAAGGTAAACGATGACTTTCATTGCAAAGACAAGAATTGCAGCTCTGTTGAGAGGAGGAAGAAACAACTAACTTTTATCTAGAAAAAATGGAATTAAGAACTTTATGATGTGGGTGACCAAGACGACGATGTCAAAGTGTACGAGATGAGAGACGTGAAGTAGTGGTGAAGTAGATAACTGGAGTTTGAGAAGATCTAGTCTACTCATAAATCCGCGTCCTATTCGGGCCTTTAAGCTAGAGGTGCTCGCGTTCTCAAATCCTTCTCAACAAAAAAAGTAGGGAAAAAATCAATAGAAGTTTTATTTTACTCACAAAATAGAGGAACAAAAATAAGATTGCGATTAATAGCTGGAGCGCTTAAAACATCTTTTAGAACAAAATTATGAAAGGAAGTGAGGAGTGTAGTATGGCCTGTGTTGGTTACTTCAACACCATTACCATCACCAACTATAAAATCATCCGTCCCTGTGTACTCAGAGTAAGCCTGCAGATTTTGAGTATTTTGAGGTGATATGATGTGATGCACCAGTATCCACAACCCAATCAGGATTGGTTGATCTAGTAGTCGATGAAAAATTAGCTTGTTTCTCATTCATATTGTGACTATGAGAGTGGAAAACATGAGCAACATGTCCATATTTGTCACTCAATTGGCACTGAACTCGAGCTCTATTGCTGGAATTTCGAGAGCGCCCTGAACTCGAGCTCTATTGCTAGAGTTTTGAAAGCGCCAATTATTATTATTGGAATTTTGCTAATTGTTGTTTCTGCCCGAATTAGGGTTGTTTTGATGGCCTGACCAGTAAATACCAGATTGGTTGGTAGGATTTTTTTTCTAGTGTTGTCAATCAACTTGTGTCGAATACTGATTAAACTGGGCAGTAACAGGACTAGTAAGAGGTGACATCTCAGGCTTGGGTGTGTGAAGAAGGAACAATTCGCGGTTGCTGAGTTTTTCAAAAAATCTCCTCATAAGTGATGAGGTTTTCATAAGCACAAATGGCAGAGCTAATGGAGTCATATTCTTGTCCAAGGACGACGAGCACTTTGATGACAAGTTCATGCGTACAAATGGGAGAGCCAACAATGGAAATTAAGTTCTTGTAAGATGGCTCAAATCTCATTGAGATATTGAGCAATGGACTTGGTTACCTTCATAAGGCGGCTAAGAGAATCACGAAGACTGTAAATAAAAGTTTGACTTTTGTTGGCATATTTTTGCACTAATTTCATCCAACCGATGTGTGCGATCAACAAACGTCATAAGAGCATGACGAAGAAGGTTGTCTTGTTGCCTCCATGGTTGATAGTTTGGATCAGTTGGAGATGGACAAGGAAAGGTACCATTAATGTAGGAAGTCAGATCATAGCCAAGGCAAAGATCATCGAATTGAGCTTTCCAGGTGACACAGTTGGTGCTGCCAGCAAACGCATAGGCAATTGGGTGGGCTGATGGATGGAAAAAAGTTGACTTCCTTGTTTAATGGATTCATGACTGTTTGAGAGGGTGAGATACCTGAGTTTTGGTTACTAGTGGTGGGATTGGTTGGAGTTTGCACAACCAAAGTATTGTTGTTCAAGTTGTTAGGCATGGTGGGCAAAAAAATAAATAAGAACAGGTTTGATCCATAAAGAGAGAAGTATTTTGCAGAAAGGTGTGTTTCTGTGTATTACATTAACCATCTTTAAATAATAAGAGGGAGAAGAGATTGCTACAATACAAAGGAGAATAAATTAAAAGAATCAGAAGATTACATGAAATAAGGAATACAAACAAGATATGGAAGATCTAAAAGATTGCAAAATCAGAAAGAGCAAAGAGAACATATCCTAAGAATATCTTTCCTTATTATGGAGGGGTGTCAAGCCTCTAAGATAGTCAACATTTTAGCTTCAGATACACATTAAAATTATCACCACACATCGCTCATCATAGAATTATTTCCTTAATCATGTAAAAACGTAATTATTTATTGAAAACTTAAAGTACTCCTTCGGCACCACAACACTAACAAGGTAGTAAGAAAATCAAGGAATAAGATAAAGAGTAGTGGCTAATACCTGCTCATCTGGAAATAAGTCTATTAATTTTCTAGTCTGGCATCATCTCTTTCTCTACCTCTAACCAAGATAGTTGGTCAGCTACTTGGTTTTCACAACCCTTTATGTCCTTGAACGCAAAGTCATGAAAGAGGAAAGGAAGGAAATGTGCGCATTAAAACCATGTTTTTACAAACACATCAGCTCTGTCCATAGAAGATTCAAAAGAATGCCGACAGGTTTACAGTTGGCACACATAATGATATCTCAAAATGTAGTGCTTGTATTGGATGTCGTACTATAAGGCTCAAGTGGAGCATGGTTATACACTTAAGAACAAAACACAAAGTTCTCTGATTGAAGAGATAACAACATGAAGTTGTATCCGGGATCGAAGTTGAAGCAAGAATACATGGATCTTATCATTACCTTCATTTACTAAATTACTTTATTAGCTTATTTAACAGCATATATAAAGATCTAGTTGCTTAAATATGTCCAATATTTAGAAGTTAAATCGATCCACATGTTCTTAACTTGGTGACAAATTTAAATATATCAATTATCATATAAAATGATGTCCTCAATATATACGTCTAGTCATTAATTGATTTTGCCATTAACTTTGCATCATAGCATATGATTATTAATTGTTCAAAATACGAGGTCATTTGTATGTGAGAAACTTGAATACCAAATGGAAATGATAAATGAAAGAAAAATTGTAGAGGAGTAATTATAAGGATGAAATTCAAATATAGATAGATGTATGGATCCATATATATATAAGTAGGATCCAAAATACAAACAACAATTATTACACAATATTAGTACTACTAGACTAGCGTGTGTAATAACTCTAATGGGACATACCAAAAGACAAAATGAAAGTGACAACAAGAGATACAACAAAACACAACTTGATCCATTAAAGATGACCATAGCTTATTCTCCTCCTCCTCATGATAATTGCACTTGTACCAAATTGTGCGGTGTAAAATTGACTATCATCAACCTTAGCGGACCCTGCATCATAAAATTGAACCACCAAACATTAATACTACATCTCATAATATGGTCCTAAATCATTTTTTAAGAAACATTAAAGTAAATTAGCAACCAAATTAATAGTGAAGCAATTTGCTTGGCAAGAACAACTAGATATTTCCTTTGTCCCACTTTATGTGACAAGTTTTTGTTTTTTAGAGTCAAACAATTTAGATTTGACTGAAAATTTGCAAATGAAATCTGAGGTATAAGAATATATTACTCCATTATACCCTTTTAACTTAATTAGCTTCAGGTCATAGTTATGCCCTTTTAACTTGAGCGTGCATACTTAACTTGTATAAAGTTTTGCATGGTGTGTGATATCGTACATGTAGTATGATGTCAGTGTTCAATTTTATAAAAGTTGTGATGTATGAACTAGTGGTGCACACTGAAAATTAGACGATATAAATTATGAGAGGGTTAATTGATATACTTGGAGCAGTCAGTGGAAGGACTGATCTTATAGGGAATGTTGACTTTACAAACGGAAGGAAGATCAGCAGCTTTGCGGTAATTGATTCCGGTAATAGTAGCGGCTGCTGATTTAAGGCAAGTGCAGGCAGCTTTACGAGCTAGTGTGCTCTTTGCGGCATTTGCCAAAGAACTAACTCCACTGCAACAACTTCCTATACCTCCTTTGTCTCTAAGGTAAGCAAGGCACGGGAATAAAAGCTTCGTCACTTGCCCACAGCTTAAGGCTTCACCATGGGCTATCAACATGCATAATACCACAAACCATCCAATTTTTCCACCCATTGTATGTATACTGAATTATTGACTGCACAAGTCTTGTTGTTGGGTGCAAAATACTATGAGACCTAATTCGGATTTTTATAGGGGAAACATTTTTTTTTTTTGAATATTTATTATGTGTTAGTTGAGTTATGTTTAATGCTTTGAAATTATTAGGCGCATGGCATTATATTGAAGGGAATAGAAGCTGGCATAGATTATTAGATAAGTCACATTACCAACAAACCAGTCCATTACAAAATAATTTTTAGCGGTAACAAATAGACATATTAATAATGAGGTATCAATAATAGATTCAATGCGGCTAAACGTTTTAGAAACATATAAAAAGAGTTCTATTCGCTGCTAAAATTGAATTTTTAGCGAAAAATAAACTATTAAATTATTAGATAAGTTTGGTTACCAACAAAGGTTGTGGTGGAGTTACACTGGTAAATACTACTTCATCCTTAATCTGAGATCTTTGATTCGAATCCTCATGAATATTGAGTTACCTTTGTTTGAGTTCGAATGCTCGTGAGTACGGAATGACTTAGTTTAGGGAGTTGTTTTACCACAACTGTATGAATTCTCGGCTTTATATTCCAAGAGGTGAAACCATAGCTTTGTTTTATCTTAATTAATCAGTCACACTAATATTATAATCTATTTGTTTCAATTTATATGATTGAGTTTTCTTTTTTTAAGTCCTTTTAAAAGAAATTGATAAATTTCTATATCAATTTTGCACCATCTTTCTCGAACAACTAAAAGAATTACAAAATCATTATTCATTAACTTGACAAATGTTGCCACGTACTTTCTCCAAAGTATATAGTATTAACCAATAACAATAATTTAAGTTTAAAAGGGGACTATTTGCCTCCGTTGCGAATATCATAACATAATAATTTTGAGAAGTTAAATTGATAAAATAATTTTTATTGGAGAATATTAAAGTACAAACTTGAACAAATGAAATATTAAAAAGTGGAAAAATTAAAGAGAGAGAAACTAGAACTGAAAATGCTTCTTTGGGGATCAAATAAAAAGTTATTAGCTTAGGGTCTAGTTGAGACCAAAGCTATTCGAAAATTATAAATTTTGGAATAAGTTATTTTGGAATGAGTTGTTGTACGTGTATCATGTATATACTACATTATAAATGATCTTTAGCGACAATAGCTCGATAGTTGCTAAATATATATTTTTAACGGTAATTAACATTCTTTGTATATGTTCTAAAGTCTTTAGTGACGTTGAATGTTATGACACTTAACTCATACTGGTAAAACATTAGCATTCTTTATTTATTGCAGATACAAAATTGTTTTTGTTGTGATAATATGAAATAACTTACTTTATAACTAAAAAATAAATAGTGGGATAAATGATTCTCTATAAGGGTGTACAAAATCGAACTGAAAATCGAATCAAATCGCAAATCAAGTCAAATCAGAAAAAAAACCGACTAGTGATTTGATTTGACTTGATTTGGTGTTGGAAAAAAACCCGACTACATTTGGTTTGAGTTGGTTTCAACTAAAAAAAATACAACCCGAGAACAAATTGACCATACATTATATATATAATTTTAAAATTTTATTTTATAGGTATACTTACGTTGATATAATTTTTAAATTTCTCTTATACTTTTTTCATAATTTTTATCTTTCAATATATTTATTTCATATTTGGAAGTTCGAATTCTTAATCATCTAATAAATATTATAGTCCATACATGTTGGTAATTATAATAAAGTATAATAAAAATTAAATTAATAATAATGCAAAAAGAAAATCAATTCAACACTAAGAATGACAATAATATTGAATATTTATTTTTTTTAGTTTAACATAGATTTAGACAATTAAAATACATAATCTAATTTTACTTTCTTTTAATATTTATTCATTTAAATAATGCTTACTAAACGTATTTTAGCATGTTTAATACTTTAAATTATGATCAATTTCATTATGACTTATTAATTTGCGATATTTATTTTACGCGATTTAATTATTATTTTTTTGTTGGATATTTCTATGTCATTAATCATATCATAGTTTTTTTTCTTGAGAAATAATTTAGATAGTTGTATTATGGTAGAATTAAAGAAATATTTGCAGTACAAGTAAATTAGATGTTTAGATGAATAATTATCGAAAAAATATGAAAATTCAAAAAAACCGAAGTTGAAAAACCCGTATTTTATTGATTTGGTTTTGTTTATAAATTCAAAAATCTGACACAAATAATTTTGTTTGATATTTGAAAAACCCAAACCAACACAATCATGTACACCCCTAATTCTCTAAATATGTTATACAACAAGTCTAATTATCAAAGATGGTCATTAAAATAAGATTAAATAAAAAGTTTATAAAAAACCAACAAGAAGAATTTTTTTTTTTGGATAAACTAAAACTACAAGATTACATAAAGTAATAAATTTTTTACTCTTTTTATCCACCACCATCCCCCTCTCTTCCCTAATTAGCAAGCAAAATAATAGGATTCTCACTTGGAAGAAAAACTATTAACCCAATTTAATAAGAGGGAGAAAAAAGGGAAGGTCCACTCTACAGTATGATCAAATCAGCGATAGATTGCACCTTGAACATTGTGCTACATCAATATTGACTATTTTACCACCGGCCAATGGCAAAGCTATTACTATTCATCTTCACTTCCTTTCAACTTTAAGATTCTAATTTCTATATAGCTGCTAAGGTTGATTTGTTAGTTTGTAAAGAGCTTTGAAGATGAGTTAATTTTTACTCCATAATATAGGGATTTATGTGTCCTATTACCCACCAAATTGAAGGTCATTGACTCTTCTTCACAATGTTGTCAATGACTTGTTAATTTGAGGGCGGAGTCCAAAGTTATGATCCTTTAAGTATTGACTGACATTCTTGAAAGGAGTTGCGGACCATATGTGTGCAACAAGTTTGCATCACTACTAAAAAACTCCTAAAAAGTAACGGACATAAAAGCGACGGACGACGTCGCTCCAAAAAGCGACGGACGACGTCGCTCCAAAAAGCGACGGACGACGTCGCTCCAAAAAGTGACGTCATTTGCCACAATGTTCATCGCTTTTTAATAAAACTAATTATTTTTAAAATTATTTTACATAAAGCGATGGACTTCATCTCCTCTTTTTTTTTTTTTGAAGAATTCTGCGCCATATATATAGAATTTATAATTATTTATTTAATATAAATATAGGAGTTGTCCATTGCTTTTAAGTATAAATAATTATATATAAATTTAACAATAGCCACGTTGTCCGCCGCTTTTAAATTATTATATTTTACTAATTTTTTTCTATGAAAGCGACGGATAACATCTTTATGTCCGTCACTTATTGATCTAATTATTTAGTCTAATATTTTAAATAAGTGACGGACAATGCCTCTATGTCCATCACTTTTTGGTCAAATTATTTGGTCAACTATTCAATAAAAAAGCGAAGGACTTAGAGACATCATCCGTTGGATTTCAATAAAAATATGATATTTACAGACGTGATTCCCCATCATCTCCAATTTCTCATTTTTCACATTCTCTCCACTGCGCCGCCGCCATCGCCTCACCTGTTAGAGCTACCACCTCCTCCTCCTTCCCGTCTCTCTTCATTCTTTCCTTCACCTTTAAGGTTAGAGATTTATTGATTATCAAAAAAATAAATTAATTTGAGCTCTATTTGATTTTGTTAGTTATTTAATTGTAATTCATTTATTGATTATTTTTATTGATTGTTAGTTTGAATTAGAACTATTTAGTTATTGAGTAAATTGAAAATTTTAATGTTAGGGTTAATTTCATTAGGGTATCTTCAGATTTGTTTAAATTTGAGTATTTCTTGAATTGATTAGTTTGATCTTGAAATTGTCGGATAAGTTTGGATTAAGGTATTTAAGGAGTTGTTGGAATATGGGTATTATTTGAGTTACTTTGATTTTCAGGTTTTAGGACTAACTAAAGTTTTAATTACTATTGAGATTTTAGGACTAATAGTTTGAATCTGGGATTAGGAATAGCGAGCTAGTTTGAATGTAGGATTTTAGCACTACTTAGATTTTGGAATTTTAAGACTACAATAAAACCTCTATAAATTAATACTCGGCAAATTAATAATCTCTATAAATTAATATTTTTCTCTGGTCCCAACTTGTGCCAATGGAAAAAGTCATCAATTTTAATAAGATAATATATTTCCAGAAGATCCATACATAAATATATGGTCCCATTAATATCACAAATTAATAATTCTTTAAAAGTACCAATATATGTAAGACAATATATGAAGTTCATCTCTAATTTTTCTTATTGCATCCATGCGCTCCAATGTTGTCTCTTCAAAATGTACCATAAAATTGTGAAGAGTTCTAGATGCGATAAGTGTTTCCTTATGCGAAACTGGTTCTAAAGGTATATTATCATCTTCAACTTCATCGTCAACATTGCTTTTTTGGGTGGTATCCACAATTCTTCTAAGTTCTGAACCTCTGAACATATTTTAACCTTTGAACATGTTTCACTTTCACTCGGATAATCCAACAGGTTATTAACATCCATCTTATTATGGTAATCGACATCATTAATCAATGACGCCAAGTTCATTAATGACATTTACACAAGTAGTTTCATTCAACTTCATTGAGATTAAATTCCTCGAATGAATTTTGCAGTGTAAAAAATAATTTGCTATTTTCTCTTGCCAAACATTTTTGTCCAAATAGAGATTGCAAAATTGGTAGCATCCAAAACGTTAATCTTTGCTGAATCAGTTTGTCCAACATCATAGTCTTCTAATATCCTACGATAAAATTTGTTCGATAATACATTTTCAAAACTCTTATTATCTCAAGATCACAAGGTTGAAATTAGTAAGACATAATGATTTTGATGTATTCGTTTGTCTCGACCCAAATCCGGGCCGTGACTGGCACCCACACTTACCCTCCTATGTGAGCGAACCAACCAATCTAAACCTTAACATTTCAATATAATATCAACAGAAAGTAATGCGGAAGACTTAACTCATTAATAAAATCAATAACTATTATTATCCCCAA